AACACCGATGGTGAACGGTATGAACTGATAACAAATGATAAGAATCGATAAGGAGCGTCCGAATGCAAATATCCCAACTTCCTTGCAGTCAGCGAGGTGTTGATAGTGGGTTACAGGAGTTTTAATGAGCGTCAACTATACTGATAAACGTGGCGACAACTGAGTGTGCGCTCATTCAAATTGAACCAGGTTCTTAGCACGTGAATATGTTCAATTCCTAACCTTTCACCCAAAAAAGCAAAGGAACTTGAGCCACTCAACTCTCTGGACTGACCAATAGCGAATTTTCATCAGAGCTAGGCTAATGCTGATTTATTGGTCATATATGAATGCTGAATGTTTACGAAGTCATGATAAGTACCAGCTTCATTCCGCATGCACTGCGCGTACTACGCGATAATCTTCGGCGAAATTGGACAATCTTTGGATCTCATCTGACGCATCTTTCGAAACATCTTACTACTGGTTTCTCTTCCACGTGGCCTAAAATTTTGCGACTGTTCAAGCTGTCCGTGAAGGATCAGGAACATGCTATGCATTCTAGAGAATCATGTCATTGCTTCAATGGAAGATTCCAGGTCGGAGGTCGAGGAACGAGAAACTTCTCGTTGAAAGGCGGAACAGTTCTATTAAAGGCCGTTGATTCCTGGTTCGCCGAATTAAAAAAATATGGCGTGCCTGACAATTTAAAATTTGATATGACGGTGTCTGATAGAGGCATTGGTCATTGGACACAGGTGCTGCTCGAATCAGCGGTGCAATCCCTCAACAAGAATGTAGGATATTTCAGCTAGCGTGGCAGTGGAGTCACAAGATTGGATGCGGAGTGTACTGGTGTCCTACCTTCACATATGCTGCATGCGAGTATAATCCTGCGTAAGTGGTTTTCGCAATATGAAGGATAGAGGCAATACTTCACTTCATTTACCTTTTTCAGAGGGTACCTCCTTGGATCCATCATTTACCAGCAAGGGGAACCCTGCACAACGGATGAAGACTGCGACTGCAGTGGGTGCGTCTGTAGCAGAGACGAGGCGCTCTGTCTTGCTCCGGCTATAGCACCACCAACAACAACCACTACTCCCACTACGGTTGTAACAACGCCACCTCCGGTTCCAGGTTAATCATTTTCAATGTTTTTTCACTGAACATTTGGTCAGTTCTGAGGACACTGCTTTCCCTTAAACAACGGAATGACGGACGAAGTCAGGCAGATGTTTTGGATAAGCACAACGGATATCGGTTGGTTTTCGAAGGAAAATCAAATAAAAGCACAATCAAATTAATATTTTCTAGGTCACTAGTTGCTAAAGGAAAAGCATCTAAAGGGCAAGGCGGATTCGCTCCTAAAGCTGCCAGACTGCCGAAGATGGTATGATTATCTATGCCCTTGTACTCCCATAGTGATCTGGGTTTCCGTGGCACAAAGGATAAACTTTAGCATAGTGGAAGGCCTCAATAACGGGTATCGCTTAGGATTTACGATTGCCACATTGGGACGAATGTGATGAATGGGTTAAACAATGCAAGTACGAGTCATCCCCATGGAGTGATAGAGGAATGGGTTATGGGAGAAAACATCTGGATGAGTACAGACAATAAAATGGACAAGACAGATGCAGCTGTAGAGGTAAGGTATCAAAAGAGAGCATAATGGCGCTACGAATTACAATGACTCTCTTTCAGAGTACCGCTGCTTGGTTTAGCGCGTTACGAAAACAAGGCAAATGGTTACAGCGGACAAAACAATTTAAAGGAATCTTGCGCGGAAAAATCATGATTCTATTTCAGCCATAAATCACTGGCTTGAGACTCATTATCCACGATAATAGTGAAAAGAACTGAAGTATTGCTTTCGTTTTGATTAGAAATTCGAAAACTCGAAAAGGCTGCTACGCGTTCGAATTGCCCACGGACGTCTTTCACGAATGCTGGCGACGGGGATGCTCAAACTTGGTTCTTGGAGTGCATTCACTAGAAGCTCTTTCTGGCCTTCTGCTTCGTTGCATTCACATCTTACACTTCTACTCCATCCTATTCCATCGATCGATTTGTCTCCACTCTCCGAAATCGCGCGCTTTAACCCGATTCTCATTGCGTCGCCTGGTACGTAGCCGGCCAAACGCCGTCTTCTTTCCATGCCTCGCCTGGCTCTGCCTCCTGGTCCTTCGATGGTCCATAACGTGTAGTTTTTGTACGTTTGTTTCTCTTCAGAAACCGAATCTTCATGCGTGAAACTTTGTGTGCTATTTCCAGTGATCACAACTGACATATTCATGTTAGGAAAGAGTGCAAGAATTTTCCGCGCAAGATTCCTTTAATTTCTAACTCATTTTGGTGCTCCGAACACACTTACGTGATGCCACTATTTCGCAAAGGGTTTGTTCACTTCAAAGAGATACCCTGATCGTTTTAGATGGTATGGCAAAAGAGTCTCGTTATTGGATGTGCAGCAGTATCGTGCGACACTATGACGCTGATAGGCTGCACTACAAATTCACGTAAGTGCATTGTCAAATGTTCAGGTATTATGCCTGCAACATCAGTTAAAGTGCTGAGATTCAGGAACACCGTTGGAGCTCTGATATATGACGTGGGAGAGCCGTGCACTACGAAATGAAGATTGCAAGTGTTACGGATGTCTTTGCAGCCAAGAAGAAGCACTCTGCCTCGTTCCACCACAAACACAACCTCGTAATCTGGCAATGGGATAATCATTAC